GAGAGAGAGAGAGAGACAAACAAAAGACACAAGATAACATATTAGTCTTATTAAGCAACAGACAAAACTAAACTCTATTGCCAAGGTGTGTATATTCAAGGGGCTGAAACAACAAAGGAAAGCAAGGAACTTATTACTGAAAGAATCAGAAATCAAGATAGTGCTTACCTCTAAGAGAGGGAAGAGAAAGGACCCAGAGAGCTTCCAATGGCCCTGGCAGTATTGTGTGTTTTGACAGGGCTGGTAGTGACATGTGCAAAATTAATGAATTTTTAAATGTACTTTTCTGTTAATGGGTTATAGTAATAATTTAAAAACTTGAAAAGATAAAGAAAGTAACTATCTCTTTGGCCTGGCTTAGTTCATACCTTGTCCTGCCTAGTTTTAGGTCTAGAAATTTCTGTGATTATAACTGGCTCTTAGAAGTAAACGACTGTGTCACTGCATGGCAAAGTGATCTCCAAAATGGGATATGCACCCCAGCAAGCACTTGAGAAGATTCATTTGGGTGGGAAAAGAAATTGATTAGGACTTGCATTTACATTCATTTTGTTATCGTGAAACATTACGGTAACTGATGGCAACTGTATTGACACTGGCACCGTCCTTGAGTCCACATGTCGGGTGGTCAGGTATTGCCTGGGGCATAGGCAAGGTCTCCTGAGCAAAGAGTGGGAGTGCCGAGCTCAGGGGCTGCCAAGTGGCTTCCCCACTGCCCCATCTGTCTTGGTTATATTGTGAAATATGTTGTGCCTGGTAAACTGGATTTACAAATTCTGTATTTTAGTTTTAACAAAACCTAACAAACTAGCAGAATCTTTAAACGATTCTGGAAAGAATTCTTGACAAAAAGTTGAAGACAATTTTAATACTACAAGCAAGAAGAGAATGGCAAAGCTTTGCATGAACGCTTTGTCAGCCACATTATGAGTTAATGACAGAGACCATTGAATCAAATCTGGCAAGATGCTGGCCACCAAAATTTTATGTTATCTGGAAAACTAAGGGATTTATATTCACTGT